CTGTCACGAAATTAGTTCATTTGTCCTGTGAAAGTCAATGAGCAGTTATCAATCGTTATCATGTTAACTGAAGAACATTAAGTAAACATGAGTCAACGTTTTTGTTTTGGGGCCCATCAGTTCTAATTTGTGATTTCGGATTCTTGACGGTTGCTTGGCAGAATTCTTTTTTTGGTTAAGGTTGCTGGGATGCTGCTGCAACTGCCTTTCATTGTGCCTTTTGCTTTCTCAGTGATGAGGTTTCTAACTCTACTTTTCGATTTTCTCCTACTCTGTTGCCCCTTTTCTTTCCCACTAAATGACTGTGAGGTGATGTGTGGAGGTGAGGAACAATGCACAGCGATCTGCGCAGATAAGAAGGAGATGATTGGGTCAGTCCAAATTACTTCGACTGAAATGGGCAACATCTGTGATACGGTTGTCAATCTGACCCATCTGTCAGCTGCAACCTCTTTGAATATTACCGAGCAAGTGGCTACAAAACTTACTAATCCAAAACGATCCAAGGCTTTTCCTTTTCTTGTACCACTGTCAACTACAGACGCTATCGATGCGTCTGGCGCAAGCGTAATACCGCTTTCAAAGCAATCTAAGATTTCCACAAATCCTTCGGTACAGCAAAGCGTGACTAATATGCCAAGAGGCCAAGAAATATTTTCTAATCAATCGGATTTTGTTGTAACTAAGGAACCTACTCAGAAAAGCGCAACAACTCAAACGAAGACATTTGCAAAGATTATAAAATCCACTTCAACTACGGAATTAAACTCACCTGTGGGTACACTTAAGGACTCAAATGTGAGCGCTGGGAATCCAACAGATGTGACAAACTCTATTCGGAGAAATACTGGCACTTTATGGTCGCACTATGTTGACTCTCTGCAACCTGAAGGATCATCTGCACTTAATGAAGGCTTCGAAGAAGGGCGTGAACCAGAAAAAAGCGGTTCTGATTTGATATTTGGTTTCACACCTTATAATGTAATATCTACACCTATAGGAGCCGGAAAGCAGAGCCCAGAAACCATTTCTGCTTACTCGACCGCAAAAAATGTTTTAACATACATAAGAGCGACAAAGGGTGCTACTCAAAATGGTGCTAGCAAATCTGTTGCGAGTAAAAAAGGTGCAGCCCTCTCGAGCGACATCAAAAAGACTGGTGGAATTTTTGATAGCAAAGGTACTTCTATACAAACATTTAGCATCACTAAATGATGTTATTACTTCAGCAGGAAGTGAGAGAACAACTGCCTTATCAACCGTACGAACAATCGAGAAAGTAACGAACGCGAATGTTGATACAACGCAAAAAAATCCAGATACCGTCAGAAGACTAATCAACTCCACTTAGACATAGGAAAGTGAGATGATGTCTCTTTTCAGATAAATTCTGGGACACCTGCACATTTGTCAGGAA